GTACACCAGTTACTCTCAACAAATACGTACATACCACATATTCCAATACATATTTTGACCGGGTTGCAGATTTTTATGTATGTAACCGATATACTATATATATACGTATGAATATAAATATCTCGATACGTTCACTTATACGATTACGGATTTTACGAGGGTTACGGATCGTACCTTTCCTTTCTTTACCCATATGATACGGTTTAAAAAGCTTTACAACCTTTGATGTCTCTTTCTTCTTAGCCTTCCCGTCATGAAAAAACATGGGTTTGTATCTAAAAGTGCTATAATAGAAAAAAGAACAAAGAGGTAAGTCAAAGTCAAAAAAAAAAAAAATGAGTGATATACTTATAACAAGTGTCGATTGGATCACTTATTCTTTATGCCTAAATAAAAAATCATTTGCCTACAGACTTCTTATTAATAGGAAACAAATAAATATCTTCAAACATATAAGAGGACTTCAACATATCTTTCTTTTTAAGGAAACAACATCTCTAAAAGCTCATTTCTCAAGCAAAGTTACTCTTCCAATAAGAAGAGTAATGAAATATGAGTAAAACTAGTGTCCGACTTGCAAACAAAAGTTATATCAATTTCTTTCTCTAGCTAGTTTGGAGCCGAGAGGGTCTCTCTAATTAAAGAGAAGCCCTAGCATTCGATACAATCACCTACATCACAACTTGTTCGGTAATAGGCTAAACTTTAGAAGAAAAACTGGGTTGTCTCTCCTTAAAATCCATAGAAGTTCTCTATAACTTAGGAACATTAAGCCCAACCTTCTATCACTTAATCAAACGAGCCCCTATTCCACCTAAGTTCATTCCCCCTTCTTACTAGTAGTTCTACTATCTATAAATAAATAAGATAGGGAGTAGCTCTGAGGGACTCTTCTAAGATAATCCTCTCCATACAAGAAACTAAAAACTTCATCACAAGCTAGCCGAGATTAGTTTCTCTTTTAAGAACTTGGCCAACTACAAAAGTTAAAAGAGGAAACATTAATAACTAAAACTTCTAGGCAAACAAAAAAAAAAGCATGTAAATGCCAAAATTCAACCCATCTACCCTATATGACAACCTTTTTTCAAGAAGGTTGGCTCGATATTTACCATGTCTACTCCTTACTCAATTCCAAAAATTATGATGATGTCAAATTGGATAAGGATCATATTATAATCACCTTGAGGCATCCTTCATAAAGAGATGCAACCCCAAATTTTGTAAGCTCTATCTATGGGTGCACGCCCTTTACACTTCACCATGAACCACTCTTTCCTATAATGGTCTACCAAATTGACAATCTTTACAAACACTTTTTTTTTAGTGAACTTAACTCTTTGGCTAAAAAAATATATATTGGGGCATTCTCTTGGCCAAATAATGAGAATGCCTAAAGAGCCCAAGGTACGAGTAACCATAAATTATCAACATAAGTTCTTAAAGGTAGTAAGAGCGATCCATCTATTTAGATGAACTTGGCTCACACATAAGCTAAAGTGTTAAAAAAGTTATACCATAAACCCAAATAGAAACAAAGGGTGTAATTGTAAACAAATATACATATGTGAACATTCATCTCTATGTTTTTTCAATAGCTCCAACGGATGGCCTACTAATCCTATCATCTTGATAGGGAAGGATTGCAAGATAATCCCATCATAAACGATGACCAAAAGCAACTAGCCTTTTCCCATACATCCTAATAAAAATCCTTTTGCTAGGCATAGGGAAAGACCTCTATCCACTCTTAAGAAGGACTACTATACCTATATTAGAGTTTATCTTTTCTTTAGAACCTCTATCAGAAACGAGTCTCAAACACGCTCCTAACCTTTTCTAATTCTACCATTCTCAAACCAAACTAAAAAAGAAATGAAGAGAGAAATGATTACCTATTCAAAACGTCAATGGTTCTTTAAAAAAATAAGATCTCCTTTGTAAAACTATTAGTTTAGATTAAGATCCTTGTACTAGGTTAGAAAAAAGCTCCTCTAAAGATTTGTTACAGTATCGTTATCCCTTTAAAGAGTCTCCAAATTACACTCGCTAACTTGCTAGAGGTCTTCAACAATAAATGTAAAAAATTAGTAAAAATGAGAAAAGAAGCACCTACCAACTATATATAGACGAGAAAAGCTCGAGTTTTCATAACTTCTTATTCAAACACACAAGCTCAAGTGGCAAGATAATTCGATGTGGCCTAATCGCAAATGATGGTGGATTTGATGTACCAAATAATATGGAAATCAATTAATGGGTTTTTAGAAACTCCGAAAGACTCAACCTCTTTCGCATCCTTTAGAATTCTTCCACACACAAAAGTCCGACCTTATATATAAAGCAACATAGTTTTCAAAGCAAAGGACGTTAAATGATCCTCATCTCTTTCGATCAAAACAAAAATAAAATAAGTAAAAATAGTCTTTCACTCGTCTTAAGTGCTACACACACTCCTTCAAAAGCCTAATCATTCCATAACAGTCTTAGCAAAATATACTTGCCAAGACTTAGGAGGACTAATGATGTGTCTAGATGACACATGTCATTTACATACCTCTAAGAGGACTCCAACTAGGGTTATATCCTAAATAAATCAAATGATCGGCCAAGGCCTTGTTATCGACTCACTAGGACACCATTACGTAAGTATATATCGAATGTACAACCTAGACTAAGAAGATACTCTCTAACTACTAACATAACAAAAAAGACTTGCATTTAATAAAGATATGCTCTTGAGACTATCTTTGTCGGATTGATATGAATAATGGTGACACGGACGCCATCAAATAGGAGATTATCATCAATAGAACCTTTGTTCTCCAAGTTTGTGTAGGGGTCTGTTGGCAACAAGGGAATAGACCATGCTACCCACTTTTCCATGCCACTTGATAGACGTCTCATTTATATAATAACTCTAAGGACCAAGAGTTCTAGGTTCCAATCCTCGCTCTCTCTCTCTCTCTCTCTATACGATATTTATTATTTATTATCTCTTTTATACTTACAAATACACACCATAACCTACTCAAACATCTCATATCTTTGTACACTTATTTAATTATTGGAGGGTCATTCAACCCATTAGAAAGACTTATCATACATGTGTTTTGAGCAAAAAGGATCATTGTTCATCACCAATCTTCACAGTTCATTTCAGCCATAAAAAACCACGTAATCATAGTTTTCTTAACTCATCACCATCCATCTCAATTAGAGAATACATTTTGGAATTTGGATCACTAAAGGTGATTTAAAGTTGTGGCTATGTTTAAAATTTTCACAAATAAATGAGGGAATAAAAGGGCTTAGCTGAGCAAATCTCACCTCAATATTGTAGGATGTGTTAGCTCCTCTTATCTCATGTCACATTGCTTCATGGACATGATGCTTTATCGAGACAACTCAGCTACATTGCTGCCATTGATAGTGCCCTAAAGAAAAGAGAAGAGATGTTTAATATTCCAACTTCCAAGCTTGGAAAACAGAAAGGATATGTCTTAATGCTTTGACATTAACAAGAAAAAATAATTGAAGTTGCTAAGTAGTTCATAAATACATACATACATGAACGTAGAAAGATTCCAACAAAAATGCTACTGTCATTTTGAGTCATTCAATTTTATGGGCAAAATCTTGGCGTGGGCTCACCATATCCTATCAATGAGATTCACAACTTTGTTTTTTTATTATTATGAAAATGACAACGTTGATGTTGATTCCGAATTGTCTTTGCATCAAAAGCCTAGCTAGCTGTAAGAAGAATTTGATAAGGAATATAAACAATAGCTAGCTGTAAGAAGAATTTGATAAGGGATATAAACAATAACTAGCTGTAAGAAGAAGTTGATATGGGATATAAACAATTTAGAAACAGATAATTTAAACAACTGAACCCATTGGCTTGAGAGAGCAAATAGAATTCGATGATCAGGTGAACTTCAATTCGTCAACGAATAGAAATATTTAAGAATATCAAGTGCCTCCCTTTTATGGTTTCTGGTCAATTATATACAAACAATTGAAGTTGGGATAATTATCCATTGTTATTTATTTATTTATTTATTGCTAGTTCTTAAAGATGATATGCCTAGGGCTATCTGGTGCATGAATCTAGATTCTAAGCACCTTTTGTTTGTGCGAGTGCGTGGACGTTGTCGGTGGCTTTTCTTTTTTCTACCTTTTCTTGGCACTTTTTTTCTTTCTTTCTTTCTTTCTTTTTTTTTTTCCTGGTGGACGGAGATTGATTTAGCAGGATGAAGGAGCCAATAGTACTAGTTTATAATTTCTAAAACTAATCAAGAGGTAATTGATATTACAGAAAAAATAGATTAGGCTGTCAAATGGTTACTGTTTTTCCTGTCACATGTTTGCTGGTTTTCTCAACACAGGATGGCTGCAAAATGTTCTCAAGAGGAATATTCCGAAAGCCATATGACTAGAGAAACGGAAGGTAGCGAGCTCTTAAAAAAAGTGCATAGATTGTTATGGCTTCATTACACTACGGATGATATACCACTATCCCCCTTGGACTCGAAGTCGAGGGCCTAGGCAAGATGGTCTTGTTGCCCTTCAACTAACAAGCTATTTAATATTGAGAAGAATTAGCTATATGTCAAAAGGGTAAAAGAAACTCAAGAAGCAAGTAATCACTGGGCAAATGAAACCTCAAATCATATACTTGACAACAAATTGAGAAGGAAATTAATAGGGCATTTGTTAATTAAAGCTATATGTTATTAATTAAAAAAAAATTGTTATGTAACTTCTTAGAATCCATAAATATGAACTACAGAACTCAAGAGCTCATACAGGAAGGGACAGCTCATCATATCCGCAAAATCTCACCATGTCTCTAATGTTACCGCCTCAAAGTAAAAACACTCCAATTTTGAATCCTATCTTTGTAAACCTCATTATTCTTCTTATCTCTACAATCCGATTCCCCATGTATATTTGTATCTGCAAAATTCATGGGGATCAGAATCAGTTTGGCACTATACATGAACTTCTCCTGGATTGTGAAGTACACCATTCCAACTATGACTCTCGGATTTGTCATCATCTTCTGCTTCCATGCTATCTCCTCCAGTATTAGAGGTAGCTTTGGCAGAACCACTTGCACAGAGGGGTCCTTTCGGAGAATTAGACTGTGAAACGTTACACGTGAAAGGGTCCTTGCATTGATCTTGAGAATTCCATAAGTCATTTGCTGGGGTAGCTGAAGATGCCGGGACTTTACGGAGATGAAGCCTGTATTTCTGCTCACATAACATACTTCATGTTAGTTAGTAGTCCTCAATAAAAGAAAATAGCCTAAAAGATGTTGTTAATCAGAAACTTACTTGCAAGTGACTTTTAACTTCATCATTTGTGAGGCCATCCACTTGCATGAGCTCTCTGATCTGTTTAGGAGTGGCCACTATATTACAGGAAAAAGAAATTAGTTTGAGAGAAAGATAATCATAGTATAATAAGAAAAGAACTTGCTAAGGAACAGCCACCAGTACTCTGGCCGGCCTAAGAACAAGCAAGCCTAGGAATACTATTTCATTTCTGATATTAGCAAATTTTACAAGTTATGGATTCGCTCAAAATTGAAGTTTTCAAGCAAATAGATCTTTCTCTTATTTCCCATATTTCATAGACTCTGTAAGGACCAGCTTAACATCAGTCTGGAAACTATTTCTTTAATTACAATTTACAAGTGTCAAAAAGAGAGAATTTAGCAAGCATCTAACCTTGATATCCCCCAAGTTGTTGAAGGGCATCAACAAAGCGCCGGTGAAGCTCCGGTGACCAGCACCGTCGCTGCTTCCTGTAAGCCTGCTGTTGTGATTTACTCTGTACCTTCATTTGATTGCTACAATTGTTGCTCTTTGGTATCAAATTGCAGGAACTCAATTCAGGTGCTGAAGTCATAAGAGAAAGTCCTGTAGCTTGTGAAACAACCTCCTTCTCTTCCATCCTCTTACTCTCTTCGAAACTAGAAAGTGCCTTGAAAGGCACAAAAGCCCCTCCCTTGTTGCTATGATTACCTAACTGAATCGGGTTCTCACAAGTAGACCTATCATCATCTTCTTCACTTTTCTATAGTCCAAAAAAAAAAAAAATCAAACTTATTCCCATCTTGCAAAATCCAAATAAATTTGCTATCTTTATTCCTCTAAATCAAGAAAACTTAAGTGAATTTGAAATACCTGTTTTGGTTCTGATTTTGAGTCCTGCTCTGAGCGATCCAGGTTGATGTTATTGTTATTGTTCCAAAGCTGGACAGAGCTCATCCAGTTCTTTTTATCATTTCCATCTTCATTAGAATTCCCTTTCAATGGTGCCAAATCATTCGATTCTTGGCACTGCATTGCCTCCTCCTTTAATCTCACAATAGCTATAAACCCCACCAACAAAACAAACAACCGAAAAACCCAAGAAATCAAAATCCCATGTTTAAAAACACAAAATCGAAGAAATACATCCGAAAAAAAAAAAAAAAAGAAGCCAAAATCATACCTTCATTCAAGAGAAGCATGCAAAGAGGGAGTTCCCTTTTAAAAGCATCAATCTTTCTCCTTTCATCTTCTAATCTCTTGACATAATCATCAAGCTTTGGTAACTTTTGGCGACTATCTTTAACCATTGAAACCTCTTTAAGACATTCACTTATTGTTTTTGGTACATAAACCAAACTCAAATCCAAGCTAAGCTCCATCGTTTTAGCTTTCTTTCACTCAGATTCTCTCTCTTAAAACTTTCTAACATGACCAAGAAAGTGCCTAACAAAACTGAGAGACAACCCGTGTCCTTATATAGACAAAGGCAAAAAATTCAGATTCAAGGACGCCAAGATTCGGTCACTCACCTACGGGTAGTCGCATAAATTTGAGTCAACTCGGCTGACTCGGTGGCCTTGTAGAGTAAAAACTAGGGGAATTATATTTTTCTCTTTATAGGTTCATTGATTGTTCAATTCTACCCCAACAGTTTATAATTTTCCAATGCTACCCTTCTATTCTTTATAAAGTTTTTTTTCTCTTATTACTACTAAACAACTAACAATAAAAATACTGTATATTTTATAATATTATATAAAAATACATCAAAATCTCAAGATCATACCATTTTGCAAGAAATTCATTTTTACGGAATAAAATTAAAGTTTATTATACTTAAATCAGTAAATGATACATTTATCACTCTTTTCTTGGGAGGAAATAATAAAAAATCAATGGTGGTCCTTTGTTTTATTTCATCGATAATTTTCAAAAGCCAATTTGATGATAAGTGGTCACGATAAGCTTTTTGGAAATTAGACGGATAACATTAAATATTTTAAACAATAAGAATAGAAATGAGACTTTCATCAATCTATAGGGACAAAAATGAAGTTTGCACGAAAGAGTAGTGAGTGGGTACGAGTTCGGTGAGTTATGGAATGAGAATCTTCAAACGCGGCGACTTGTGGTCAATAATAGATAAATTATTTGTATATGGTGAGAGAAATTTATCAGTATATCAAGAGGAATTATTACGGTAAGAGGTGTGGGGTGTAAGATTTTATTGTTAGGTGAGGAGAGGGTAGAAAGGACACAAAGGTTGCTTTTTGGTAAGAAAACTTATTGTAGTTTGTGTCTTTCTTTTTCCCTGTCCGTCGGTCATTTCCTATTATATCTTCCTAATTTTTATATTATATGTTTATCAAAATATATAAAAAAAATTAAATTTAATATTCTTATGGAAATAATGAGCACTAATGATTTAAAAAAAAAAAACCTTTGAATAATCAAAATTTTGGTTACCTAAAAGAAATGAGCACATCGTTTCATATAGTTACTTAAAAAAAAAAAGAAGAAGTCATTTTCTATAAAAAAAAAATTCTCATAATTTTTTTTTCTATAAATGTTAGGGTGATTGGAGTGGGCGAATTCCTTAACATTCTTCCTTTAATGGACATAAATTATGCTTTTGTCTTTCTTTTATAGTACGGAGGAATCTTGTATGAAAAGTTTGAGTCAGCATATATTCATCATGCTTATCATAACTCTCTCACACATTTATAAAAAAATAAAATAAAATAGAATAAAATAAAAAGATAAAAAATTCGCAACCTCTAAATTATGGATATCGATTTTTAAGGTAAGTACAAACAAAAAGGAAATGGGCAGAGTCATCCAATAATTAACAAGAAACAGAGAAATTTTATTTTACAACACGATTAATTAACTAAGAATATTTACTTCATAGAAAAAGATATATGTTCTTTTAATTTTATTATTATAAATGTTCATTATTCGGCCCTTAATTTAGAGTACAGCAATGAATAATGTATTGTTCTTACTCAAGTTAAAATTTATGGTTTTACCTATACACAAGTTTTTTTTTTTTCTCTCTAACATGACTTTTGTTTTTCTTTTTTTATTTAAATATTTTTATTTTATATTAAAGATAAGATTAATTCTATTCAAAAAAGAAATGATGAAATTTAACTTATTTTCATAATACGATTTCAAAATTAAAAATTATATATTGATAAAAAAATTCATTTAACAATTAAATAATTTAAAGTATCTATACATTACAAGGGAATGATTGCTTTATCCTAAGGTAAAACCATGCGTTATAAATATTTAATATTTAATCTTTATCCAACAACATTTCTTTTGTTTTTCTTGTCATGCCTCGAGATTTTTTAATATATTGTATATTATTATATCAATATATCTGGTTGATTTCTTCAAACTAATGTTGGGTCAACTAGTGACCCAAATTGATCCATTCTACATATGATCCCACCAGAATCTCCGTGCTTTTGAAACACAAATGGTTTTTTATCATGCTAAATTATGTGGATTGTAGAAATTTTATAATACATAAGGAGTAATCAATAATATATACGAGTAGTTATTTCATTGATCAATTTAAAAAAAAAAGAGATATATATATATATAAAGGTAATTTAGAAAAAAATAGAGCAAACGTGAAATTTTTTTTATCATTTTTTATGGATCCAAATATAATTTAATATCTCTCTTATTAAAGTGGATTCATAGAGAATTCATGGAATAACTACCATACATATCACTAATTACTCTTTGTGTGTTTTAAAATTTCTCGTGTAATTTGATATCATCTGTTTTTTTTTTTAAAATATGTATTTTGCATTTTTTGTTTTAAAAACCAAACTTGACAATCATTATTATAATTTTTGAAAACAAAATCAAACAACATTTTTCTGTGATTGTTGGGTAGAAAATGGACTGCGAATAATATGCTCCCATCAGCATTTTCACGACAGCTTTTTCTTTCATAGAACAAGAAAAGCTCGAATTTCGCCACTTACGTTTTGCTACTTTAAAGTTTAACTCACCAAACTCATCATTCACAACGTCAATAAAATGTCAAAAATGTGCTAAGAGGCAACCTCGTCCAAATTGTTGATCTCATCTCATTCAAAAGCACAATGGACTCCCATCCTAATTAATATAATTAGCTAGAAATGCCCCAAAGAGCTTAGAGGCCACTTTGTCAAAATTGTTGATGTCATCTCACCTCATCCAAAAACACTATAAATTTACATCCAAAAACCCTATAATAAATACTTGAGAAATTTTATAATATTTAAAAAATAATTAACAATATATATATAAGAGAAATAGAAGTTAAAAAATTAAATAAAAAATTGAGTGTAGATAAAAAATATTTTTATAATTTTTTACTGATATGAATGCTTCTTCTTCTTCTTTTTCTTTTTTCAAAATAAGACTTATAAAGTAAATATTAATAATTATTTTTTGAGTGTTTTAAAATTTATGAAAATGATTTCTGCCAAAATTGTTGATCAAACATCCTTTGGGAGTAGTAGTAGGATTAAAAAGAAAAGCAAATAACAGCGGCAAAATAGTCAAATAGAGAAAGGAGATCCCAACAAGAAGTGATGTTAGTCATGTGAAAGATTCTTTGGGCAAAAGCACCTTTATTTGATTGCGTGTAGTATTTATCATCAAGAGAGTTATGGCCCCTAATTTGCGTTTGTACCATCTTCAAAGACAAGAATCTCCTCGCAAGAAAACAAAAGTCTGTTGTAACCACCAACCAAACACTACCACGTTGCATCAACCTTTGGATGAACGGTGACGCTCTTCTGTCTGTCACAAGTTGCGCAAGGAGAAGGAGAGAATAGTTTCTTCCAGAAGTGACAGAAGACAAGAAACATTAAAAAAAAAAAAAAAAACGGGGCATTGATTTCTTGATTCTTCTGTTTCAAGATTCTCTTGGTGCTGCAACCCACACGTGTCCTATGGAGCATCCGATTTTCCAACATGTGAAATAAATTAGCAAATAAGGATTTGCTATTCTTTTATCTTCTACATTGCTGATAAGATTCCCTTTTTTTTTTTTTTTTTTGGTGAAAATTTTGGAATGGGGATTTTAATGGTTTTTGATTAGTTTGTTGTTATAAAAGGACAACGAAGTAGATGCTTTTTCATGCAAGATGACAGCCATTTGCAGCCACCGGGTGTGTCCCCTTTTGGCATCATCAATGCTTTTGGTCTTGTTCTTGACTTTTTGTTATGTAAGATGATAAGGAGATAATAAATCGCGAAAGAATATTTCAAAACCATAGTAATTTTATATCTTAATCATAGAGCTTAGTCCATTGCACTTTTTGTTAATCATTCCAAGTTAGAATGCAAGGGAATTTAAGAGTTCAGACTCTTGAAATTGCTGGTTGGCATGAGATTGGTCCATGATTATTAAACAAATTGGTCACTTTTTGTTGTTAAATACGACAATATTAAACAAGTCCAGTTATCAATAAATCCGTTGTCGTCCAGCGGTTAGGATATCTGGCTTTCACCCAGGAGACCCGGGTTCGATTCCCGGCAACGGAATTTTGTTTCTCATACATCAAATAGGGTAACCAACTCTTCTTCTTCTTTTTTATCCTAAATTTTCGAGAAGAGATTGATACATGTAAAAAGACAAAGGATCCAATTTTGTTGAAGTCCAAAAATGGAAAAACCTTTACCCCTATTTGAGACGTCTGTTGTCATCAGTAGCGGCACGAGCTCCCTAATAAAATGACTCGCCACTATAGCTTAACAAAGAAGGCATGAAGTCTACTTCTGGCAAACCTAAATCTACCACCCCCACCTCCCAAAAACACAACAGCACGAAATCCCATTCTTATTTCTCCTATAAACAAGCAAATACATTTGAGATCCCTAATTGCGCTGTTGGTGGACCTTTAGAAGAAATTTAAAAGGGATGCACCATAAAAAGCTACAAAAGGAATAAATAAATAGCTTGGAAACTGAAATTTTGATGAGCGAAAAAACCCCATTTCTAAACACAAGCAACTCACTGTTAGGCCTTCACAAAATGAGCAGATAAAAGTTTTGGAACAGTGAAGCCAGTGAAGGAGTCAATGTCAAACAGTTCTTTCAGTTTCACATCACATAGTACTCTCCTCTTGTCAGATGGATCCTTCAAACAAAAAGAAAATGATTCGAGGCACAGTTCAGGTACAGTTCAAAATCAATCTCAAAAGATTATAAAACATCACCATATATAACACCAGTCCAAGTTCCTTAAATAGTAACTACAAACCCCAACCACAATGCTACTAATTCTGAAGGGAATGCTTTCACATATACCCTATCCCATTTTCAAACAGAGTTGGACCTAAACTTGCGATAGATGTGAAATTTA